GTAGGGTTCAGAATGCTCTTTGGTTGTAGGTGAACTATAAATCCCAGCAACTACAACTCCCAAATCCCAAGCTCTATTTTCCCCAAACTCCACCATTGTTTACATTGGGCATATTGAGTATCCGTGCCAAGTTTAGTCCAGATCCATCATTGTTTTGAGTCCACAGTGCTCTCTGGATGTAGGTGAACTACAACTCCAAAACACAAGATCAATGCCCACCAAACCCCTCCAGTATTTTCTGTTGGTCATGGGAGTTCTGTGTGCCAAGTTTTGTTCAATTCCATCGTTGGCAGAGTTCAGAATGCTCTTTGATTGTAGGTGAACTATAAATCCCAGCAACTATAACTCTCAAATGACAATATCGATCTCCCTCCCTCAATGCTAGCACTATTCAAATTTGGGCGTATCGGGTATTTGTGCCAAATGTGGTCCAGTGAATATATATATATATATATATATATATATATATATATATGTGTGTGTTGTGTCAGGAGAGACTTGAGAATCTGTAAGTCACTTCTGATGTGAGAGAATTGGCTGTCTGCAAGGACGTTGCCCAGGGGACGCCCGGATGATTTTTTAAATGTTTTTTATCATCCTTGTGGGAGGCTTCCCTCATGTCCCCGCATGAGGAGCTGGAGCTGGTAGAGGGAGCTCATCCGCCTCTCCCTGGATTCGAACCTGCGACCTTCAGTCCTGCCGGCACAGGGCTTTAACCCACTGCGCCACCGAGGACATATCCTCCATATCAGATATTTACATGACAATTCATAACATTAGCCAAATTACAGTTATGAAGTAACAAAGAAAATAATTTTATGTTTTGGAGTCACCACAACTTGAGGAACTGTATTATAATTATATATTTATATTACATGTAATATTACTAATAATATTACAGAATAATTGATATAGTGCAATATAGCAATATTTAAAACTGATATTGTACTATGTTAATAATATATTGTATGTATATATACCTTGTAAGCCGTTCTGAGTCCCCTTCGGGGTGAGAAGGGCGGCATATAAATGTCGTAAATAAATAAATAAATAAATAAATATTAAGGGGTGGCGGCATTAGGAAGTTTGAGAAACACTGTTCTATCATAAAAAACATGGAAAAGGTGTATTAAACTGCAAAAGCCTTGTTTTTGCGAGACATCCTGTAGCATATTTTGCTCTAGTTATTCAATTAATGTCTCATAAAGTCTCAACCCATTCAACCTAGTTTGTGACAGCCACAAAAACAAAGTTTCTGGTGTACAACAACTTTCAAAATAAGTATCACACAATTAATCAGGAAATAAAACTTTCAAACCAGGAACAGATTTTTTCTTTCAGATTTTGTTACATAGTGTAATGCGACTGGAGCATCCACAAATTTGGGTCCTGAAGCCAAACTCCAGCAGGTACTAAGGTCTCACCGGAATACGTTTTGATTCTTTTATAATCTATTCCTCTCGCAAAGAACGTTGTTATTTGCCACCATCTGGAAGACTTGACAAATTATCTTCGAAACGGGAACGGTTAAATAAAACATGGGGTATAGCTAAATGTGACAGATTGACAACATACGTAAAAATCTATAGCAAAAAAGAATGTTTGAAGAGAGGCAATTGCCACGCGACACGCGGCCCTTTTATACCCTTTTCATTGATACGCCACAAACTACGTCAAGAGGTATTTTTGTCATAAAAGGGACGCTTGTTGCCATGACGAGCGCTCTTAAATTATAATGCCTTTCTTCCTTCTGCCAACTTAAACTTTACATCTTCCCATAAGAAGAAGGTCTTTTAACACCTGCTCCATAACCTTTTCTTTCTCTCCAACGAAAGCGTTGCGGCCCACGCCAACGCACATTTGCCCAGGAAGGCTGGGACTGACCCCATCATCTTGGTGAGTGTAAATCATCTCTTAGTTGCTCCCATTGTGGAGAACTGACATCAAGTTGACTTCAAGCGATGGCAACCCTATGAATGGGAGACCAAGAGCTCTCCCTGTTATCAATATGATTTCAATGACTCAATTGACCAATGTTCTCCCCAAGCACTATATGGCCCACCATGCAAGGAATGCTTTCATTCGGGGACCATTTCATCCTAGGGTTTACATGTTTCCTCCACCACAGGCATCCCTGTTTCTTATTCTCTCCACTGGTGTGAGATTTGCACAATCCCGCCCACTGCCTCTCCCTTAACCACTTTCTACCCTTTTCTATGGCACACAACAAACAAGAATTTGTCAATGTCCTCCCCAAACACCATACTGCCTACCACCCAAGGAATGCTTTTATTCGGGGATGATTTCATCCTAGGATTTACATGTTTCCTCCACCACAGACATCCCAGTGTGTCTTAATCTCCCCGTTGGTGTGAGATTTGCATGAACTCACCCACTGTCTCTCTCTAAAACCTTTCCTACTCTTTTCAACTCTGCACAACAAACAGAACAGAACTAGCCAGCAATGAAACATACTGGGACTGAATCCACATGATGGAAGTTGTAGTTCACCCTGCATTAAGTCAGAGCACTATGAACCCCTTCATCCAGACACCTGGACCATTTGGGATCTTGGAGGGTGGATTTAAATATATTGTAACATTTTTATGTTCCATTGAAATCATGGAGGATTTTAAAAGGGTCTGGCCCTGTAGGAGAGACCCTGCGGACCCACCAAAGAGGGATCGCTACAATGGTGAGCAAAGAGAAGCCCGATTTAAAATAATTTCCCTAGGTTCCCAAAAAGAATCTCACCAAAGTTGAAGAAAGCGCCACCGTGTTGATTTTATTGCGATTCAGCTGAAAAGGATGCAAAGCAGCAATCTTTCGCCAAGCTAAGCATAACATGTTTACAAATAAAGGCCATTTTTATAGAAAAACAGAGTTGTCCAGTTTGAACCTCCCACTCCCCCCCCCCCCTTGCTGGCTTGACGGTGATTGGCTGGCGCTTGAATAGCTGGGAGGAGGCTCGGCCGCCGCTCGAGCACCTGGGCCAATGACAAGCCTTCTGCTGCGCACCTGGGCCAATCAGAGGGCTTCTGCCGACTTGTTGCTTCAGAGAATCAGGGGAGAAGGAGGCGGGACGAGGGAATACAATGCATTCTTGAATGGATTATGGAAGTTCAGGAAATGTCCAAGGGGCTGGCGAGTCCTAAAAGGCCTACAAGCTTAGCCTTGCTATTGTTTCCAATAAACATTGATGTTGGCGATACCAACATAATCCGGGTTTTCCTTTTACGCCAAGATAGAGGAACAATGGGGGGAAACTTAGGTAGATGTCTTCAGTGAGAGATTGAATGGGTGACAGGTCAGGAGGCGGGAAGCTTTTCGAAGGCTCCCCGCTGTCCTATTGAATATATAATCAAGGTTTGCCAAGCGGCCGTTTCCCCTGGTGGTCAGGACCTCCGAGGCCAGGGGGCACGACCCTTTGTTATAGTCCATGTTTTCTTGTAGTTTGAAGAAGAGAAGGCTGAGAGGAGACATGATAGCCATGTATAAATATGTGAGAGGAAGTCACATGGAGGAGGGAGCAAGCTTGTTTTCTGCTTCCCTGGAGACTATGACGCGGAACAATGGCTTCAAACTACAAGAAAACATGCCCAGCTCTTTCAGCCACTCCTCATAGGGCTTGTTCTGCAGTCGCCCTCCTCTTGACACATTTTAGTCGCCCTCCTCTTGACACATTCCAGCTTGTCAGTACATCATAGCTGTTACGTCATAATTTGTTTTTATATATTGGGTTGTCAAATTTCATTATTATGAGCGTATTGTTTTATGTTCTGGCACTGAATGTCTGCCTTTTACGTTTGGAACCTGCCCTGAGTCCCTACAGGGAGTTAGGGCAGAATATAAATCTATATAAATAAAAATGTAATGTTCGTTTGTGGGATTAACAGAACTCAAAAACCACTGGACGAATTGACACCAAATTTGGACACAAGACACCTAACAACCCAATGTATGTCCTTCACTCAAAAAAATGATTTTGTCATTTGGGAGTTGTAGTTGCTGGGATTTATAGTTCACCTACAATCAAAGAGCATTCTGAACCCCACCAATGATGGAATTGAACCAAACTTGGCACACCGTTCTCCCATGACCAACAGAAAATACTGGAAGGGTTTGGTGGGCAGTGTCCTTTGGTTTTGGAGTTGTAGTTCACCTACATCCAGAGATCACTGTGGACTCAAACAATGATGGATCTGGACCAAACTCTACACAAATACTCAATATGCCCAAATGTGAACACTGGTGGAGTTTGGGGAAAATAGAATCTTGACATTTGGGAGTTGTAGTTGCTGGGATTTATAGTTCACCTACAATCACAGAGCATTCTGAACCCCACCAACGATAGAATTGGGCCAAACCACCCACACAGAACCCCCATGACCACCAGAGTAGGCCACGGCTAGTAAAGTAATAATAATAATAATAATAATAATAATAAATATTATGAGTGTGCCAACTATCTCATGAATAGTATCCTTCTCATCAACCAATAGTGAACTTACATATGTATACATATAAACATCCACATACATATTCGCCAGGCCTGGGTAAACTTGGGCCCTCCAGGTGTTTTGACTTCAACTCCCACAATTTCTAACAACTTACAGGATGGAGAAAATTGTGTTAGGCGTGGGCAAATTAATCCACAGATACCGGTCTCACAGGGGTGATGCTGTACTGTGCAAAAGGAGGCAGTAGTAAACCACTTGGAAGTGTCATAGAATCATAGAGTTGGAAGAGACGTTGTGAGCCATGCAGTCCAAGAAGCAGGAAAACCGCATTCAAAGCACCCCCAACAGATGGCCATTCAGCCTCTGTTTAAAATCCTCCAAAGAAGGAGTCTCCACTACTTACCATGCCCTTTATCATGAAAGCATTACATTAAGACAACTGCCCATCCAAAGTCCTCAAGCGGCCCATCCCAGAGACCAGTAAACCCAGTATGGATGGGCCCTCCCTCCCTCCTCCTCTGCCTCATCCCCTTCTCTTACCAACTGCTGAATGCTGAAAAACTCCATGGTCCCCCCTGTTCCCCAGAGCTGCCAATGCTCACTCTCTGGCAGCTGGGTGTGCGTCCGGTTTTATTCTGGCCCCAGAAGGGTGGGGGCAGGAAGATGTCCAACATTCCCACCCCATCCAAGCAAATGCGATGATTTGGGTGTTATGTCACCCCGGCTAAAATAACTTCATAACTTTAAAGGTTTGCAGAGCAAGGAGGGGAGGGACAGGGAGGGATAGATAGCATTCCCAGACCCAGAGAAGCATGGACGAGTCACACTGTTATTTGGTTGGGAAAAGAGGTTGAGATGGGGACTGCTTTTTCCAAATAAGGATTGCCTTTTCCTCCATTTATTATGAAAATCAGCAAAGAAAGGTGAAAATTGCACTCTCGGGTTCTGTAACCCAACTAGAGACATTCAGATTTGTCCTTTTTTTGGACTAATGGCAACTTGGTGGCACAACGGGTTAAACCGCTGGGCTGCCAAACTTGCTGAACAGAAGGTCGGCAATTTGAATCGGAGAGCGGGATGAGCTCCCACTGTTAGCCCCAGCTTCTGCCAACCTAGCAGTTTGCAAACATGCAAGTGTGAAATCAATAGGTACCGCTTCTACGGGAGGATGATGGCGCTCCATGCAGTCATTGTGGCCACATGAGCTTGGAGGTGTCTACAGGCAATACCGCTCTTCGGCTTAGAAATGGAGATGAGCACCACCTACCAGAGTTGGACACAACTAGACTCAATCTCAGGGGAAACCTTTACCTTTGTAGTGGGAACTTGTGATTTTGTTGTGAGAAGCTACTGTGAAAGGAGATTCCATCTGAACATGAGGAAGAACTTCCTGACTGTGAGAGCCGTTCAGCAGTGAACTCTCTGCCCCGGAGTGTGGTGGAGGCTCCTTCTTTGGAAGCTTTCAAACAGAGGCTGGATGGCCATCTGTCTGGGATGCTTTGAATGCAATATTCCTGCTTCCCAAGAACAGGCCTCAAACACCAAGAATTTTGGAGAGGTTGTGCTGTATTGTCGTTATTAACACAGCACAACCCCTCCTGTGTTGTGTTAATCAGTAGGGAAAGCACACTGCTTCTACTCAAAAGACCTTGAGCCCCAAACAGCCCCACAGATCGTCTCCTCTCCTGCCAAAGTAAAGGTGTCATCACAGGCCGAGAATGGAAAGGAAGGAGTTATGAAGATCTGAAAGCCCTGATTCTGTATCACTAGGCTGCTGGGATACAGTTCATGTTACAGGTACAAGGCAAGCAAGACGGAAATAGCCTTGAGATAGGATGATACTTAATCCCAGTGTGATGATATTGGGTTTCTTCTCCCCCTCCCCTTCCATCCCTCTCTGTTGTCAAGGCTCTCAAGGTGACACACACAGAGAGAGAGCCTCCATGGGTCTCCTTCAGGAAGTCTGTCCTTTCAAAGGGGACACAGATGAACCTGGGGAGCAAGGGAGGGGGGTTCACAAGGGATCAAAACCTAGCACAGTGTTTCTCAACCTTCCTAATGCTCCAACTCCTTAATACAGTTCCTCGTGTTGTGGTGACCCCCAACCATAAAATTATTTTCGTTACTACTTCATAACTGTAGTTTTGCTACTGGCATGAATCATAATGTAGTTTTGCTACTGGCATGAATCATAATCCTGATATGCAGGATGCATTTTCATTCACTGCACCAAATTCAGCACAAATACTCAATACGCTCAAATTTGAATACTGATGGGGTTGTGTGGGATTGATTTATCATTTGGGACTTGCAGTTGCTGGGATTTATAGTTCACCTACAATCAAAGGACGAGCCACTGATCAGTATCTAAGCCATTCTGGTCTTCCCCAAGATGTTGCGTTTCTTGGTCAGGTGTTAGTTGTGTGAGAATTTGGAATCTATTGTGTAACTGCAGCTGAGCAGAAGTATTCTGAGGAGGCTTCCTGGTCCTATGTCTCTTTTTAAGGGTGACATTCCTCCAAGCCKGAGGGTTGTCCACATCTGAGGTGGTCTCCTAATGAGCCTCCCCATTTGTCGTTCATTCGTTCAGTCGTCTCCAACTCTTCGTGACCTCAGCCTCCCCATAATGTTGGTGTAATGMGGGTTGTGTGTCTAGGACAGTGTGCTYTGTGGTGTCTAAGAACAGCTCAAGTTCCTGAATGTCCTTAAGGGTCTTAATAAGGTCCTCGAGTTGTTGGATCCTCTGTTCCKTGTGAGTGATCTATTAACACTTGGGGCAGATGTAATTGAGTAATTGTTGCATGAAAAAGCTGAACATGCCACAGCTTGTGCATGAGATGGGAAGATTTTGTGTTTGTTCCATCTGCAGACTGCTAATTACCTCCCTTTTATGTGTTTTATGTTGTCTGTATGCAGGGGTGAAGGTGTAGGTTAGTGAATGTGTGAGTGTGACCCTGGCTTATAAAGAACTCCCATGACCAACAGAAAACACTGGTTTTGGTGGGCAGTGCCCTTGAGTTTTGGAGCTGTAGTTCACTTACATCCCGAGAGCACTGTGCACTCAAAACAATTATGGATTTGGGCCAAACTTGGCACAAATACTCAATATGCCCAAATGTGAACACTGGTGAAGTTTGGGGGAAATAGACCTTGTCATTTGGGAATTGTAGTTGCTGGGATTTATAGTTCACCTACAATCAAAGATCATTCTGAACCCCACCACTGATAGAATTGGGTCAAACTTCCCACACAGAACCCCATGCCTTGAAGGGACTCGCTAGTGCGAGCCTTCCTCCAGCTTGCACACTCTCCCTTGCCCGCGCATGCATACCATGCTGCCATGTGCTGAGCACCCCTGCTCTCTCCTCCACCACATTTGAAGTCTCAGCAACAGCCCTCCTCATGGCTGAGAAGCCAGCCAATCACAGCTTGAGGAGGGCTTTTGGTAGGAGGATTCACCTCTGTTTCCAAAAAGGAAGAGAAGGATAGGCAGAGAGATCTTCAGCCTTCTCTGCCAAATGGGTTCCTAAGACCATCAGAAATATATGTTTTCTGATGGTCTTTGGTGACTACTCTGAAACCCCGTGAGCCCCCCCCCCCGGGGTCATGACCCCCTGGTTGAGAAACACTGACCTAGCGGCACTTTATCCTTCAGAGGTTGATGTGCAAAAGATGGAGCAGTGGAGAGAGAGATGAACAACATCCCTTTTACGGCTGACAGGGATGATGCACCAAGATCCCTCTGTGCGATAAAGGGGATACCATTACAGGATTATATCATCTGCCAGACCAGGAAGAAGTGTTCACTCACCTGCTGCAACTCCCCAATGTGAGAGATGCCATTGCCACTCTGTCATGGCCTCCTCCGGTTTCTATCATCGTGCAGTTCATCCTTTCTTGGGAAAAATAATGAAGGGCTGTAAACTCAGCACTATAGGAAATGGGGAGGAGCCCTTTTCAGTCTCCTGGGATGCTTCTTTTTCCAATCCTGAAGCCTTTCCACTAAGTATTTTGGAGTGGTCTTCACCAAGACTCATGCGATTTCCAAGGGAATCATAGAATCCTAGAGTTGGAAGAGACCTCATGGGCCATCCAGTCCAACCCCTTGCCGAGATGCAGGAATATTGCATTCAGATCACCCCTGACAGATGGCCATCCAGCCTCTGCTTAAATGCTTCCAAAGAAGGAGCCTCCATCACACTCCGGGGCAGAGAGTTCCACCGCTGAACGGCTCTCACAGTCAGGAAGTTCTTCCTCATGTTCAGATGGAATATCCTTTCTTGTAGTTTGAAGCCATTGTTCCGCATCCTAGTTTCCAGGGAAGCAGAAAACAACTTGCTCCCTCCTTCCTGTGGCTTCCTCACATATTTATACACAGCTATCATATCTCCTCTCAGCCTTCTCTTCTTCAGGCTAAACATGCCCGACTCCTTAAGCCGCTCTTCATAGGGCTTGTTCTCCAGACCTTTGATCATTTTAGTCGCCCTCTGGACACATTCCAGTTTGTTAATATCTGTCTTCAATTGTGGTGCCCAGAATTGGACACGACATTCCAGGTGTGGCCTAACCAAGGCAGAATAGAGGGGTAGCATGACTTCCCTAGATCTAGACACTATGCTCCTATTGATGCAGGCCAAAATCCCATTGGCTTTTTTTGCTGCCACATCATATTGTTGGCTCATGTTTAACTTGTTGTCCACGAGGACTCCAAGATCTTTTTCACACGTACTGCTCTCGAGCCATGCGTCCCCCATTCTGTATCTTTGCATTTAGTTTTTTTCTGCCTAAGTGGAGTATCTTGAATTTGTCACTGTTGAACTTCATTTTGTTAGTTTTGGCCATTCATCTCTCTAATCTGTCAAGATTGTTTTGAATTTTGCTCCTGTCCTCTGGAGTACTAATGGAGAGTCAGAGCAAGCAAAGGGGCTGGAAGCCACAGGCACTCTCCACCCAAATAAGAAATGCAGTTGTTCCCTCCCTGTTTGTGCTTTTGACTTTGGAGGATTTGATTAAAATGTTCTCTTTAGGAATTCTCAGGCCCTTCAGCATGACTCTAGGCTCTTCTGGGGATGGCCAATGGGAGCTGCAGTTCAACAACATCCAAAGGAGCAAAAGACGCCTAGCCTTGTTCCAAACAAAACAGAACAAAAAGCAGATTTGGTTTCCAGTTGCTGTGTTGCAATACTGGAAGACAACAAACACAGAAATGGTATGAAGTCTGTTCCCTATGACAATAGTTCTCTAGCTTTGGCCCTCCTGTCATTTTTGATGTAAAACTCCAGCCAGCAAAACTAGTGGCAAGGGAACCTAGGAAAGGGTCTAAACGTCTGGAGGATGCCAGAGTTGAGAAACAGAGGCCTCAAAGAACAGCCTGGTTTCTTGAACCATCAGCAAACAATTCATTGTTCAGAAAGCTGCTTCCTCAGGTCTTCCTTCTGGTCTGGAACCAGGTCACAGGGGCGCCGAAGGCTCTTGTCCCGCACCTGCCTCAGCCCTGCACTGTGCTCCAGAAGAAGGTGGCAGACCTCACGGTGTCCATTCTCAGCTGCCTAGAGCAAGAGAGGGAAAGGCTTACTCAGTATGCGATACGATCAAGCCAAAGTGCTAGATTAGTGGTTCTCAACCTTCCTGATGCCGCGACATCTTAATGCAGTTCCTCACGTTGTGGTGACCACCTAACCATAAAATTGTTTTCGTTGCATTTTCATAACTGGGATTTTGCTATTCTTATGAATTGTAATGCAAATATCTGATATGTAGGATGGATTTTAATTTACTGGACCAAATTTGGCACAAATACCCAATATGCCAAAATTTCAACACTGATGAGGTTGGGGGCGGGGGGTTGATTTTGTCATTTGGGAGTTGCAGTTGCTGGAATTTATAATTCACCTACAATCAAAGAGCATTCTGAACTCAACCAACAATGGAATTGAACTCCCATGGCCAACAAAAAATAATGGAAGGATTTGTCGGGCATTGACCTTGAGTTTCTGGCATTTATAGTTCACCTACATCCAGAGAGCACTGTGGACTCCCAACAATGATGGATCTCGACCAAACTTGGCATGAATCCCCAATATGCCCAAATGTTTTGTTTTTTTTAATACATCCCAACAATCAACAAAATTTTGCCATATAGGACAAGCTAAAAGATGATAGAGGACATCTGAGATCATCAGATAAGGAAATCAGGGAGATCATGGCTAGCTACTATGAAAAACTTTACGAAGGCAAAGAATTAATCAAATGAGATGGCCTCTTGGAAAAAATCATAAATTCACTGTCACAAACCAATCTAAATAGCACAATAACTAACTCGGAAATTGGAAAAGCGATAGAAAGTCTAAAAGCAAACTCATCACCTGGGCCAGATGGCTTCACAACAATTTTTTTATAAAATATTCAAAGAGGAAATCACACCGAACCTATTTATACTATTTAATGAAATAATGGAGAGGCAAAAAGTGCCACATTCCTGGAAATCCTCAGAAATTCATGCAATCTTAAACCCAAATAAGGATGAAACTGATCCTAACTCTTATAGACCAATATCCCTTTGTAATGTGGACTACAAATATTTACTAAAATTTTAGCAAACAGAAAGAAGGACATAATACCGGAAATAATTCATGACAATCAATACGGATTTATAAAAAATATGCCCAAATGTTAATAGTGGTGGAGTTTGGGGAAAATCGACGGGACATTTGGGACTTGTATTTGCTGGGATTTATAGTTGACCTACAATCAAAGAGCATTCTGAATCCCAACAACAATAGAATTGGGTCAAACTTCCCACACAGAGATCCCCATGACCAACAGAATATACTGGGGGGATCTGGGATGAATTTACTGTGATTTAGGGGAGACGTAGTTCACCTACATCCAGAGAGCACTCTGAACCCAAGTGACTATACCAAAGGGATTCCAAAACCATCAGAAATATGTGTTTTCTGATGGTCTTTGGCGACCCCTCTGAAACCACCTTGCAAACCCCCCAGGGTCTTTTCTACTGTAAGCTTATTTGAATCTGACTTCTGCTTTCTTACTCTTTAGTATGGAGAGTATATGCTGTGTGCTTTGAGATCTCTCTCTGCTTGTGTATGTCAGAGAGATGTAGTGCTTGATGATTTTTGCCTCTCTTCAAACCTTTGAAGAGACGGGTGTTAAGAGTAGATCAGACCCAGTTCTTTACCATGAATAAATGTAGTTACTGTAGTTCTTTATTATTGTAAAGAAACCTTTTGTGACGTTTTAAGATTGGACTCTGCATCGTTGCCTGACTAAGCTATGAATTCTTTACAGCCACATCACACAACACTTTACGCTTTGCTCGCTAATGAGCTGATGCTCAATTTTAAGTATCCTGTTTATGTTTTTGGATGCTCTTATATTTTAGGGTAGTTTTCCCTAACAGCTTTTTTGTCAATGAAACCTATGGCATATCTAACAGATCTTGAGGTACCCAACCATCAGAGGGCCTTTACCCTGGCACAATGTCAAACCCTCCCATCTGCTGTACTACAGAGAGACTCTGTCCCTGTGAATCTGAACATATAGAAACAACTGAACATGTGCTCCACCAGTGCCTGTTTTACAGACGTTTAAAGTAGACTCCTCTCACCATTGCTATATAAACATCTGGGGCGCTCGGGACCATATTACACCACCCTGATGCTTTCAGATACCAAATCTGTTACAATCTATAATGTTGTCAAGTTCTGTGTGGCGGTACTTAAAATTTGCCGGGTGATAACTGGTACCACAAGTTAACATTCTAACTAATAGAAAATTGAAACTATAGATGTCAGGATCACCATATCAGCCTGGGACTGGCTGCTTCAGTTCTCTGTTATTGAAGAAGGGAGGTTGGGGGGTGGGGGTGGGGGTGGAAGCCGAGTACAGTTGGGGAAGGTAGTCTAGATAAGACACCTGTTTTCTGAGGGAAATTGAAACTGCAGTTAACAGTCTGTGGGAACAGTGTTTGCTCACTTGGGGGCAGATGGGAGTTGGGGCCGATATATATACAGGAGGTTTAAGTGGGAAAACTTTAGAACTGTTTTTTCGGATTACGGAAAGAAGGAATAAATCACTTGTCTCTAGTTTTTTATTGTTGTGAGCTTGATTTTAACTCCACAATTTTTCCACAAAAATACCAGTTAGACTAGAGCAGCCATGGGCAAACTTTGGCCCTTTTGGACTTTAACCCCCACAATTGGGAGTGGGAGTTGAAGTCCAAAACACCTGGAGGGCCAAAGTTTGCCCATGTCTGTGGGGATGACCACCCCAGGCATAAATTTAAGGAAAGGCAACAGCACTGTTCTTTGCCTAGACCTTGTGCAGGCAGGTCTTCCCCTCATCGTCTGTGGCACCCGGGTTGGCCCCATGGGACAGCAGAAGCTTGGCAACGTCCGTATGGCCGCAGTAAGCTGCGCGGTGGAGTGCCGTGGCCCCACCATGGGTCTGGGCATCGCAAAGGGCTCCCCTCTCCAGGAGGAAACGGCAGACGTCATAATGCCCGTGGCGGCTGGCGTAGTGCTGCAAGGCAGAAAAACACAAAGACCCAGAACATTATTTTTCTCAAGTACAGGCCGTCCCTAAGTTCCAAACATCCAACTTACAAACAACACATAGTTAGGAATGGGTCCAAGACAACAGGAAATCTACTTTTAAGGAAGGAAATCCACTCCTGGAAGTGTTATTGTGGGGGGAGAGTGTCTCCACTGGAGGTTTCTCTCCACTCCTTGTTTCCGCAACAAACCACATGTTTCAAAATCCAATTCTCACAGGGACAATAAAGTGAGGTGACAGTTTCCCTATGCAATCCAAAACTTATATATACAGTATACATGACTAGATTTACACTTTAAAAATGTACTCATTCTGACTTACATACAAATTAAAGTTGAGAACAAATCTACAGAACCTATTTAGTTCATAACTTGGGGACTCCCTGTAATTGCAAAATTTTTGTGTACTTATGAAAGACTTATCTGACCAGATTGTTTCATTTCACAAAAGCATCAGTTTTGATGGATTCGTTTCAACCTGTTCAGCCTGATGATGTGGACAACATTCTTGGAGAGATGAGAGCGACCTCCCCCCCCCCCCCCCCCCCCCCCCCCCGTGCTCTGGATCCATATCCTTCCTGGCTTATCAAGCTTGCCAGTGGGGGATTGACCGAGTGGTTCACAAAGATCATAAATGCCTCATTGGAACAGGGACATATTCCACCAAGCCTCAAAAAAGCAACGATATTTAAGAAGGCCTTGCTAGATTCCACGGCATTGAACAATTATCGGCCGATTTCTAACCTTCCTTTCCTGGGCAAGGTTCTAGAGCGGGTGGTGGCCTCCCAACTCCAGGGATTCTTGGACGACACCGATTATCTTGATCCATTGCAGTCTGGTTTTAGGCCTGGCCATGATACGGAGACGGCTTTGGTTGCCTTGGTGGATGATCTCTGCAGGGAGCTAGATAGGGGGAGTGTGTCCCTGTTGGTTTTCATGGACATCACAGTGGTTTTCGATACCATCAACCATGTTATCCTTCTAGGATGGCTCTCCAGTAGGGGTCTTGGGGGTATTGCGTTGCAGTGGCTTCGCTCCTTTCTGGAGGGTCACGCCCAGATGGTGAAGCTGGGGGATACCTGCTCGGACCCTTGGCCTTTAACCAGGTCCCGCAAGGTTCTATTCTATCCCCAATGCTTTTTAATATTTACATGAAACTGCTGGGTGAGGTCATCCGGGGTTTTGGAACCCGGTGCCATCTGCCTGCACATGACACCCAACTTTACTACTTCTTTCCACCGAATTCCAAGGAAGAATCCCAGACCTTGGAACCAGTGTCTGACAGCTGTGATGGACTGGATGAGGGCTAACAAGTTGAAACTTAATCCAGACAAGATAGAGCTCCTACTGGTCAGTCGTGGGGGCGGTCAGGGTATTGGATGGTAACCAGTGATCGACAGGGTTACACTCCCCTGAGGACACAGGTCTGCAACTTGGGGGTCTTCCTGGATTCAATGCTGTCGCTTGATGTTCAGGTGGCAGCAGTGGCCAGGAGAGCCTTTTCACAGTTAAAACTAGTGTGCCAGCTGCCACCATACCTCGTAAAGTCTGACTTGGCCAGGGTGGTCCACGCCTTAGTTACATCCAGATTGGATTACTGCAATGCATTCTATGTGGGACTGCCCTTGAAGACGGCCCAGAAATTTCAACTGGTACAACGGGCGGCAGCCAGGCTCCTAACTGGAGCAAATTACAAGGAGCGTACAACATCCCTACTAAACGGCTCCACTGGTTGCCGATAAGTTGCCAAGCCAAATTGAAGGTGCAGGTTATGACTTTTTTTTTTTTTGTCGTGTCAGGAGAATCCTGTTGTGAGAATTGGCCGTCTGCAAGGACTTTGCCCAGGGGACGCCCGGATGATTTTGATGTTTTATCATCCTTGTGGGAGGCTTCTCTCATGTCTCCGCATGAGGAGCTGGAGCTGATAGAGGGAGCTCATCCGCCTCTCCCCGGATTCAAACCTGCGACCTGTCAGTCTTCAGTCCTGCCAGCACAGGGCTTTAACCCACTGCGCCACCGGGGGCTCCTAGGTTATGACCTATAAAGCCCTAAATGGTTCGGGCCCCACCTATCTCTGTGACTGCCTCTCCCTCTATGAAAGTGTACCCTAAGATCTTCCGGTGAGGCCCTTCTCCTGCTCCCACCACCGTCACATGCCCGATTTGTGGTGACAAGGAAGAGGGTCTTCTCGGTGGTGGCCCCCCACCTCTGAAACGCCTTCCCCAGGGAAATAAGACAGGCTGCATCGCTTTCCTTGTTTCACAAGAACTTGAAGACCTGATGGTTTCATCAGGCCTTTGCAAATGACTAGTTACTCAGTCCCGAGGGCTTAGCTAGATTTCGGCTGTGCTCTTCATTCTCTCTCCAACCCCATCATTCTCGGAGTAGTTGTTCTGCCCTGTCCCTTTCATAGTCCATTAATAGCTCCTGTAAATGTAGTCTCAAGCCTCACTATGGTCACTTTTAGAATTAACTTTTGCACCCTCTCCATCTCCCCAGCCCTACATTGTTCTGCACTATTTTGGCCCAACCCCCTTAAGATGTTTAGGCCCACTCAACTACCCTGGCCTTTTGCAACTCATTCCAGATTATAGAATGGTGTCTGAATTTGGTTTCAAATTGTATATGTTTGGTGTTAAAAGATTAGTGTTTTTGTTTTGAATACTCTGTATATTACATTCATGTTATTGCAAGTGTGGAAACTGCCCTGAGTCCCCTAGGGGTAATAGAGCAGTATATAAAAAGATTATTATTATTATTATTATTATTATTATTATTATTATGCACAGAAGCCCTATGGACCTGCTCTTCTTTTTGTGGTGTATCCTTTTCCTTTCCATGTTGTTTCTACCTTTGGTTATCAAATTCTCCAATAAAGAAATAATGATCGTGGATGCATCCACTTAAGTTAATGGAGGTATATCTTCATTTCTCTGACCTGTCAGCGAAGAGCTGTCCTTTAGTCAACTCCAAAATATATCTGCCTATACATCAGGAAAGGGCCAACTTGGACCCTCCGGGTGTTTTGAACTTCAACTCCCACAATTCCTAATAACCTGCCAGCTGTTAGGAATTGTGGGAGTTGAAATCCAAAACACCTGGAGGACCCAGGTGTTTTCATGACATTGGTCTTATTTGCCAATGTAGGAATTAGACTTCCTATATGTTCTCCCATGGATATCCATATTGGATACACCCATGTGCTCATAATCCAACATCACAGCAAAGATTTTCCCTTCCTGAAGCAGACAGGGGCACTAGCTTGTGGTAGTCTGATTGATTCCCACTGGCAAAATCTGGCCAAAGAGGCCATAAAGGTCAGCCTACCAAAGCAGTATATCCAAAGGCATCGGGCTCACTGGGGTTTCCATGATTCAGGACATGCCGTTTGACCTTCTCGAGGTCTCCGTTCAGAGCAGCACACCAAATCCCTACACAAAAAGGAAACGTTTGATTAAACCACTGTTTCTGATTAATCCCACTCCATATTAGTGTAGGAAATGGCAATGAATATTGTGCATAGACTTGGGTCACAACTCCAAGTTATCCGATTACATATGTCTACGTAACAACAAATGGCGCCCCCAGTGGGGCAGTGGGCAAAATGCCAATTAGATTCAAGGAAGCTGTTGTAAGACCTCTACTAAAGAAACCAGCACTGGATCCCACTCATCTCAACAACTCCATGCCAGTGTCAAATCTCCCCTTCCTGGGAAAGGTTCTGGAGAGGGTGGTGGCCTCACGACTCCAAAGTTTCTTGGATGAAACCAATTATCTGGATCCATTTCAATCTGGTTTCAGGCCTGGCTACAGGACTGAAAGGGCACTGGTCACCTTGAGGGATGATCTACCAAGAGAGCTAGACAGGGTGAGTGTGTCACTGCTGGTTCTCCTGGATCTTTCCGTGGCTTTTGATTTATTTTAGAGTAGTTTGCCTTAATAGAGACTACTTTGCTGCCTGAAATAATAATAATAATAATAATAATAATAATAATAAACCTTTATTTGTACCCCGCCACCATCTCCCGCAGGACTCAGTGTGGCTTACAAGAGGCCGAGCCCAAAGTACATCATTAGCAAAAACACAACAACAAAAATACAATGCAAAAATAAATAACTCATAACAAAACAGAACATCAACAAAAGCACGACACTATTAAAAACCTGTGGCAGGGCCAAATGTAATGGTTAAAATTCTAAAAATGTGGGCATGTCCAGGTGAGGTAGGATGAATATTTTGGAAATAAAAGGGTGTGCAGACAATTCTTACTCTCTCATAAAGTGCATTAGGGACATTGCTTGGGATTCCTTAATCTGGGAAGGCACACTGGAACATCCATGTTTTCAAGCTCCTTCTGAAGACTGCCAGTGTTGGGAAGTGCCTGATGTCCTTGGGGAGGGAGTTCCAGAGTCGTGGGGCCACCACCGAGAAGGCCCTGTCCCTTGTTCCCACCAATTGCGCTTGCGATGCCGGTGGGATCGTGAGCAGGGCCTCACCAGATGAACGAAGAGATCATGTGGGTTCGTATATGGAGATGCGGTCACGCAAACCGTTTAGGGCTTTGTAGGTAAGCACCGGCACCTTGAATTGAGCCCGGAAGATGAACGGCAGCCAATGGAGCTCCTTGAACAGGAGGGTTGACCTCTCTCTCTAATGAGCCCCAGTTAACAGCCTGGCCACCCCCCGTTGAACCAACTGAAATTTCCGGGCCGTTTTCAAGGGCAGCCCCACGTAGAGTGCATTACAGTAGTCCATCGACCATAGTATCCTTCTAGGCTGCCTTTCTGGGATTAGGCTTGGGGACACTGGCTCCGGTCCTTCCTGGATGGGCCAACCCAGACCGTGGAGCTGGGGGACTCCTGTTCGACTCTATGGATGGTCACCTATGGGGTCCCTCAGGGCTCAAATCTGTCCTCCACGCTGTTCAACATTTCATTGAAGCAGCTGGGAGAGATCATCCGGAATTTTAGAGTTTGGTGCCAAATTTATGCAGACGACACCCAACTCTACTACTCCTTTCCACCAAATGCCAAGGATGCTGTTCTGGTCCTGAACCGGTGCCTGTCATAAGTAATGAATCATGGCCAACAAGATGAAACTAAATCCAGATAAGATGGAGGCACTACTGGCCAGTCAGAAGGCGGATCAGGGTGTGGGATTTCAATTTGTGTTGGGACAGGGTCGCACTCCCCCTGAAGATGCTTGTCCGCAGCACTGGTTCCTGGTACGCTTCCAGGCCAAATACAAAGTGCTGGTCTTTACCTACAAAGCCCTAAATAGTTTGGATTCGGGCTATTTGTCCAATTACATCTTCCTATACAGACCATCCCATACTCTGCGATCAGCGGAGGAGGCCCTGCTCTCAGTCCCACCCCACTTTCAAGCTCAGCTGGTGAGAATGAGAGAGGACCTTCGCCGCTGATCACTCCCCACCTCTGAAATTACCACCCTAAAGAACTAAAAATGGACCCCTCTCTCACCTTTAAAAAGCTTTTTAAAACCTATTTATGCACCTTAGCTTATGGAGAGGAGAGATTTCAGTTGGAGATAGATCTCAGTGTGAGAGCAGCCTCTCTGTGTGAGAAAACATCTCAGTGGGAGAATAGGTCTCAGCGTTAGTTTGCCTCAGTAGGAGAAAGGTCTCAGTCTGTGAGAAGGTCTCACTATGTGAGGTAAGCCTCAGTTTGTGAGAGAAGCCTCTGTGTGAGGTAGGCCTCGGCATGAGAACGCCTCATGTGTGAATCTCCAGTGTGAAGGTTGAACTTTGTGTCACAGAAACCTTGTTTGTGTAAATAGTGCAACCATATTATCTCACTACAAAGAAAATCCTCCTATGGAAGAGATAATATTAGTCTGTGTGTTTTTGTTCTTTTTATCACTTTGGCCTACTGGTGCTGGGTCACGCTGCTGCTAATAAGTTACTCTGCTGTGCATTTATGAGGAGGGCCTTTTTTAATAAGCCCACTTGCCCCAAAAAGGAACCCTGGATATTGTTGCTTTTTATTTCCCAGGTAGGCTAAGCACAGGAGGAAGATAATTTAACCTACATTTGCATCTCTGTCCCCGCCTCACTCTGACGCCGACCCACAAGAGAAGCCCTTCTGTACCTCTCTCAAAATCCATCTCGTCCAGAGTCTGGTGAACGCTGGGCACTGCCATCCGGTGGGAGCAACAGGAGTCCTTCTTGCCGCATCCTGGGGAGGAAGCCATTTTCAATTGCCCTCCTTGGGAATACCATCTCATCTAAATGTTACAAGTACGAGGAGCAGCTACAGATCCTGCCGCAGAAGAGACATGAGCTATGATGCGTAAATCTCCAAAACTTCAGGCATAAAAGATTATTTTATCCTCTGCAACACAGATACTGTTTCTTCACTATGGTCCAACATCATCATATACAACCTAATGCAGGGCTGGGCAAACTTGGGCCCTCCACGTGTTTTGGACTTCAACTCCCACAATTCCTAAAAACCTACAGGCTGTTAGGAATTGTGAGAGTTGAAGTCCAAAGACACCTAGAGGGCCCAAGTTTGTCCAGGTCTGATCTAATGGAATCCTTCTCATCCACCTTGTCATCACAAAGATATATGTTTGTTCCTCCTTGTTCTTCCTTGTCTATTCCTTTATGTTATACATTAATTTTAAGGACTGTTATGGTACTTATTTCATAAGTTTCCCTTGGATTCTCTCAGCCTCAGAAGAATTGTCCTCCAAGGGTGTTTGGATACCTTTTTAGTAATTATTTTCAAAAATTAGGAGGATGCGATGAGGATACAGGGCCAAATCTGGGTCCCACCTGAGTCTCTCTAATCCCAAGCAATTAACCAGACTGATTAAACCTTACAAAAACATGAGATCGGAGGAAGAAAGATGGTTCTCTACACAAATCTTTGTCTTTCACCCACATTTTGTCTTCCTCTGGGGGCTCTGAACTCATAAACAAAGAAGTGAGCCAAGCTCTTCCTCCTCAACTGCGCTCTTAATGCCTCCCAATAGAAATCTCAACACAACCCAAAAACCACACAAAAGGGACCTGCTATTTCCCATTTCACGTGGATTCTGCAAAACCTCGTGAGAATGTAAATCAGAATGAGCATTTCGTTCTGGCAAGGCCTTCAATGCTGAATTTCAATGGCAGGGATTTATGTAAAAAAGAGAAATGTTCTGTTCTGTTATTGAAGGCTTTCTTGGCCGGAATCACTGGATTGCTTTGTTTTTCGGGCTGCATGGCCATGTTCCAGCAGCATTCTCTCCTGACATTTCGCCTGCATCTGTGGACAATGGCATCCTCAGATATTATGTTGGCAGCGAAGTAAGTGGAGTGTGTGTGTGTATGCACCGGGATTGTGGCGCAGCTGGCTGAGTGTCGGCTGCACTAAGATCACTCTGACCAAAAAGGTCATGAGTTCGACGCCAGCCCGGGTTGGAGTGGGTTTCCAACCAATTGTGTGTAGCCTGTTGTCGACCTTTGCAACCCCAAAGACAGTTGCATCTGTCAAGTAGGAAAATAAGTGTGGGGAGGCTAAATTAACTGATTTATGAGGCCATAAAGAACACTCCAGCAAAGCATTCCAGCGGGGAAGCATGCGGGGAATGCGGAAGTGCTTCATCAGCATCACAGATGGACAATGAAAGCAACAGCTCTCCTGGCGGCCAGAAAAAAGTTAAATAACCTCTGTGTATGTCTGTATATGTTTGTATGTCAAAAATTGGCATTGAATGTTTGCCATATATGAGTACGCTGTAATCCGCCCTGAGTCCCCTGTGGGGTGAGAAGGGCGGAATATAAAAGCTGTAAAATAAATAAATAAATAAATCTGTGGAATAATATCCAGGTTGAGAGAAAGTGCCCTTGTCTGCTTAAAGCAAGTGTGAATGTTGCAATTAGCAAGCTTGAATAGCACACAGTATTCCTGGTGTGGACTAACCAAGGCGGAATAGAGGGGGAGCATTACTTCCATAGATCTAGCCCAGTGGTTCTCAACCTGTGGATCCCCAGGTGTTTTGGCCTACAACTCCCAGAAATCCCAGCCAGTTTACCAGCTGTTAGGATTTCTGGGAGTTGAAGGCCAAAACATCTGGGGACCCAAAAGTTGAGAACCACTAGTCCAGACACTATGCTCCTCTTGATGCAGGCCAAAATCCCATTGGCTTTTTTTGCCGCCATATCACATTGTTGGCTCATGTTTAACTTGTTGTCCACGAGGACTCCAAGATCTTTTTCACACTTACTGCTCTCGAGCCACGCGTCCCCCATTCTGTATCTTTGCATTTCGTTTTTCCTGCCTAAGTGGAGGATCTTCCATTTGTCCCTGTTGAGCTTCATTTTGTGAGTTTTGGCCCATCATCTCTCTAATCTGTCAAGATCATTTTGAATCCTGCTCCTGTCCTCTGGAGTATTGGCTCTCCCTCCCAATTTGGTGTCGTCTGCAATCTTGATGATCATGCCTTCATGCCTTGAAGCAGCATGGGGGGGCCGAACTGAACCCTGAGGGACCCCACAGGCCAGGTTATAAGGGATTGACCAGGTTTTCATCTGTTTTTATTTTTACTTTGTATGTTCTTCTTGCACTCTTAGCTGAGTTTCACCTTTGTGCGGGAGGAAAGTGGGGTAAACATCGATTCAAATAAAAACAAGATAAATAAATGTATGAATATTATAGGTAAAATGTATGAATATTACAGGTAAAGATAAATAACGGATGATGAGGTTGGATTCTGATCCTATTGATGAGACGTGAATGATTTGTCATATTGATGTTTAATTGTTGTTATGCTATTGTTTTTTAAATGCTGCAATGGTTTTGTAATGTGTGTATTGAAATTGCTGTTGTTAACCGCTTTGAGTCGCCTAAGGGCTGAGAAAAGCAGTATATAAATGAAGTAAATAAATAAAATAAATAATAATAAATAAAGGTTTTCCCCTGACTTTAAGTCTAGTCGTGTCCGACTCTGGGGTTTGGTGCTCATCTCCATTTCTAAGAGCCAGCGTTGTCCATAGACACCTCCAAGATCATGTGGCCAGCACGACTGCATGGAGCGCTGTTACCTTCCTGCAGAAGCGGTACTTATTGATCTATTTCACATTTGCATGTTTTCGAACTGCTAGGTTAGCAGAAGCTGGGCCTAACAGCGGGAGCTCACCCCACTTCCCAGATTCGAACCACCGACCTTTCGGTCAGCAAGTTCAGCAGCTCAGCGGTTTAATTCATCATGCCACCTGGGGCTCCATATATTATAGACAACAGACAATAAATATAAATACTAAAATTCACTGAAAAGCAGTTAAAATAGTTTTCTAAAACGTTTTGAGATGCTGTGAGAGATAAAAGTTGTTGTTGTTCATTTGTTCAGTCGTCTCCGACTCTTCGTGACCTCATGGACCAGCCCACGCCAGAGCTCCCTGTCGGCCGTCACCACCCCCAGCTCCTTCAAGGTCAGTCCAGTCACTTCAAGGATGCCATCCCTCCATCTTGCCCTTGGTCGGCCCCTCTTCCTTTTTCCTTCCACTTTCCCCAGCATAATTGTCTTCTCTAGGCTTTGCTTTCTTCTCATGATGTGGCCAAAGTACTTCAGTCTTGCCCTCTACTATCCTTCCCTCCAATGAGCAGTCGGGCTTTATTTCCTGAAGTATGGACTGGTTGGATCTTCTGGCGTCCAAGGCACTCTCAGCACTTTCCCCCAACACCACAGCTCAAAAGCATCGATCTTCCTTCGCTCAGCCTTCCCTAAGGTCCAGCTCTCACATCCGTAGGTGATACAGGGAATACCATGGCTTTGACTAGGCGGATCTTTGTTGCCAGTCTGATGTCTCTACTCTTTACTATTTTATCGAGACTGGACATTGCTCTCCTCCCAAGAAGTAAGCGTCTTCTGATTTCCTGGCCACAGTCTGCATCTGCAGTAATCTTTGCGCCTAGAAATACAAAGTCTGTCACGGCCTCCACATTTTCTCCCTCTATTTCCCAGTTGTCAATCATTCTTGTTGCCATAATCTTGGTTTTTTTTATGTTTAGCTGCAACCCAGCTTTTGCGCTTTCTTCTTTCACCTTGATTAGAAGGCTCCTCAGCTCCTCCTCGCTTTCGGCCATCAGAGTGGTGTCATCTGCATATCTGAGGTTGTAAATGTTTCTTCCAGCAATTTTCATCCCAGCTTTGCATTCAAGCCCCGCACATCGCATGATGTGTTCTGCATACAAGTTAAAAAGGTTGGGTGAGAGATGCAGCCTTGCCGTACGCCTTTCCCAATCTTGAACCAGTCTGTTGTTCCGTGGTCAGTTCTGACTGTTGCTACTTGGTCCTTGTACAGATTCCTCAGGAGAGAGACAAGGTGGCTTGGGATGCCCATCCCACCAAGAACTTGCCACAATTTATTATGATCCACACAGTCAAAGGCTTTAGAATAGTCAATGAAGCAGAAGTAGATGTTTTTCTGAAACTCCCTGCCTTTCTCCATTATCCAGCGGATATTGGCAATCTGGTCTCTCGTTCCTCTGCCTTTTCTAAACCCAGCTTGAACATCTGGCAACTCTCGCTCTATGTATTGCTGGAGTCTTCCTTGCAGGATCTTGAGCATTACCTTACTGGCATGAGAAATAAGGAAGTTTGAGCAGTCTTTCGCATTTCCCTTTTTTGGTATGGGGATATAACTTGATTTTTTTTCCAGAGATAAAAGTAGAGTACAAATAAATACAATATAATATAATTGATAATAACATCAAAGGGGTGGGATAGTAAATATAAGTCACACATTTCTGGGAACTACAAAGCCCATGAGCCTGAAACAGCCAACTCTAAGGCACAGCAAGCTTTTTACTGGGGAAAAATTAATAAAACCAACCATTTCAACGCTCCCTCCTTTCTCAGCTGCTCCCAATTTGGAGAGAAGGGTTTCTCTAACCTCAATTTCCTAAAAATCCGTTGAAAACATGTTGAAATTCGCCTTCCCACAACAGCACTCCCCCTTCTCCTTGGCAGGCGCCATCTTACCTCTCCCCGTAAACAGACAACTGTGCCGTCCAATCACAGGAAGGGAGTGGGCGGGGAGACGTGATGTAAGCAATATGCAAAACAGCAAGCAGCGGGGCGTGGCTACAGCTGTTCCCTCTGCAGTGACCTCAACCCTCCAGTAGAGGGGGAAAGAGAACACAGGAATTCTTCTATCCAAAATATTGTGCACAATGTATTATGATCCCATCCCATCTTATATTATATTATGATATAATATGAAAGGATTTGTGATATGATTTACAATATGATATTATTATCCCACCCCATTTTATATTACATGAAATAATATATGATATGATGTATATATTTTAATCCCATCCCATCTTCTTTTATATTATGGTATGAAATGATGTATAATATGATTTACAATATGATATTATTATTATCCTACCCCCATCTTAAAGGCCCTTGAGCCTCGCCTAGCCCCTCTCGTTCCTGCTCCAACCGGCCACTGGGTGCGCAAGCAGAGCCGGCGCTCAATCATTCTCTGCGTTTGAGCCCTTCCCCATGACCAGCTCCCTTTCCCAATCCCCCGGCGCTCCACCCGCCTCCTCTCCTCTCCCCAATCTGCGGGTGGGCCAAGGGGCGGAGTCGCCGCGCCTGGCCCACTTTGGGTCCGGAGGCGTGTCTGAAGACCCCAGCGTGCGCACCAAAAGTCGCCTCTTCTCCTGACTTTCTCTTCAGCCATTGGGACCAAGAGAGAGAGAGAGAGAGAGAGCCCCTCCGGCTGGAGGTATCTCCCACCTCCGCTCCCTCCTTTGTTTTTGCGCCTACCTTCAGGAAAGATGGGCATCTCCACCTCTCTCTCTCTCTCTCTTGGTCCCAATGGCTGAGGAGAAAGTCAGGAGAAGAGGTGACTTTTGGTGCACACGCCAGGGTCTTCAGGCATGCCTCCGGACCCAAAGCGGGCCAGGCAAGGGAGCAAGTGCGGCAGGTGTAGTTACTGGGATGTATAGTTCACCTACAATCAAAGAGCATTCTGAACTCCACCAATGATGGAATTGAACCAAATATGGCACACAGAACTCCCACGACGAACAGAAAATATATATCAATGATTACCTAGGGCCGCCTCTGCCTGGGAGTTGTAATTTGGTGAGGCACCAAGGCTTTTTGGCAGAGATCTTGCAAGCTGCAACTCCAAGGATGCCATCGCATTGAGCCACAGGAGTCAAAGTAGTGTCAAACTGCATCAATTCTACAGTGCAGATACACCCTGAGTCTTCTTCTCATTTCTCGTCTTCATCACTTACATTTAAGATCCAACTGAGTCTCTGCCCTGTGGGAAATCACTACCTTTTAAAAATATATTGCTTAGCATGAGTTGTTATGTGTGAGCTTTCCAGCCCTAGGTTTCTCACCAGATAGAAGTGAGTGGGAGGCAAACCATTCTGCTCTCATGCAGATATTTAGATATATATAGATATAGATACACCCAGAAAGGCACATATATGAAGACATATGCCATTTCATAAGCCAGCATTATGTTTTGGTTTGATTAAACCAGGCATGGGCAAACTTCAGCCCTCCAGGTGTTTTGGACTTCAACTCCCACAATTCCTAACAGCCTCGGGACCTTTCCTTTCCCCTCTCATCTGCTTAAACCTGAGGCTGTTAGGAACTGTGGGAGTTGAAGTCCAAAACACTTGGTTTGGACTTCAAGTTTGCCCATGCCTGCTCTAAGTTGTATCTTAAACATAAATGTGTTGGAACTGAGGGAAATGCAGCTGCAAAGTCAATCAGTGAAGTATCTGCATAGAGGTAGCCTGGCCTCTGTTGCCTGAAGTCATCCTTTGTTTGGGAGGTGTTGATTGTATTGCAGCATGTAAAAATCAGTTGGTGAGTGTGTTAATTGAAAAATGCAAAGCACGAAGCTGATTGGTTGGGCCACACCTGGAAACTAGCTGAGCCAGGGAGTTTTGGCAACAGTTACATTTACAGTTACATTTACATTTACAGAGACCATTTGAATCTCTCTGAAAAGACATTGTGTGAGTTAATGCAAATGTTCACATAACTGTATATATGTTGCTCTGCATAACAAAGAGTAAACACCTTATTCTTTACTGATCATCTGTGTGGCATATCTTTTCTCTAGCAAGACAGTGTGTGGATTGTTAAAGACATGAACTACGCGTGATTTTCATTGCGCCACAAATTGTTTACTGTCTGGAATTCCCCTGTTTCTGAGTGGTGTTCATTATTTACTGTCGTGATTCTTGTGTTTTTAAATAATGGTCACCAGATTAATGTTCATTTTCATGGTTTCCTCCTTTCTGCTGAAATTGCCCACATGCTTGTGGGCTTCAATGGCATGTAGTCTGACATAAACAGAGGATGCCTCCAGGCAACAACAGCCAAGCTACCTCTCTGCATATACCCCTCACTGAATGACTTTGGAAACTTCATGGCTACTCAATGCTAATTCAAGCTTGCTAATGGCAACATTCACACTTGCTTCAAACAGACACACTTGCTTCTTTCTCTCACCCTGGACATTATTCCACAAGTATATATATTATATTGACCGCTCCAGCTGGAGGTCAGCTGTGACCAGCAGTGCTGCAGAATTTGAAGAGGCACAAATGGAGAGCGAAAGGGAGAAGCGTGCCAAGAGGAAGGCGCGTCAAGCCAACCCCGACCGAGACCACCTTCCACCTGGAAACCAATGCCCTCACTGTGGAAGAACATGCAGAGCACGAATAGGGCTCCACAGCCACATATGGACCCACAAGAATTCTGGAATCCTCCTCGGAAAACGAGGGATCGCCTAAGTAAGTAAGTAAGTAATATTGCATTTCAGTTGCTTTGCTACTAACAGAACATCTGAAGATGCAGTGAGCCACAGATGCAGGCGAAACATCAGGAGAGAATGCTGCTGGAACAATTTATTTATTTACACCATTTCTACCCTGCCCTTCTCACCCCCGAGGGGGGACTCAGAGTGGCTTACACAGGCAGCAATTCAACGCCGCAATATCAGTAACACAATGTAACAAATCAAATACATAGCAGATTAAAACAGTTGCAATCAATTAAAATCACAAAAACACATAATCACATAATCACAATAATCACAAAGTCACAAAGCCGTTTCCAGAGCTGTATAGGGTTTTATAGGCCAAGACCAGCACTTTAAATTGTGCTCGGAGGTGGACCAGCAGCCAGTGGAGCTGACATAACGGGGGGGGGGGGGGGGGGGGGGGGTGTGCTCCCTGTATGGCGCTCCGGTGAGTAATCTGGCTGCTGCCCATTGGACTAACTGAAGTCTCCGAACAGTCTTCAAAGGCAACCCCACGTAGAGTGCGTTGCAGTAATCTATTCAGGATGCAACCAGAGCATGGACCACCGTGGCCAACATGGCCTTGCAGCCTGAAAAACCACAGCAACCCAGTAATTCCGGCCATGAAAGCCTTTGACACACGTTATTGTTGTTGTTTCCCTTGTATCTATTGACCGACATGTAAAGCTCACAACATCAAAACAACACAACCAGATTCAAGTCAGTGATCTAGAGCTGGAATTTAGGGGTCTTTGCCAGGAGGCAGAGACCAATTAGACTCATCAAAGAGTTCTTTTTCCCTGGCGAGACAGAGAAGCACCCAATATTTTTCCCTGATTTCCCAACGAAAGTTGAAGAAAGACCATCGAGGTTTAACGCGATTCAGCGGAAAAGAATGCAGAGTGCAATCATTCGCCAAAGCTAAGCATGAGAATACATCAATACAGTCATATTTATAGTAAATTCAAAGTTGCAGAGTTCAAACTTCCCGCCCCGGCCGTCCTGCTGCCCTCCGCCGTGATTGGACAGCTGGGAGGCGGCCCGCCCCCGGCACCTCTGGACCAATCAGGAAGCTCCAGTTGTCCGTAGGATCCAATGGGGAGACCTCTGCCAACTGTCGGCGACAGCAAATCAGGAGAGAGGGAGGCGGGATGATAGAACACAAAGGAATCTGTGAATGAGTCTTTAAAAAAAAGGAAATGCCATGTGACCTGCGAGACAAAAAGCTCAAGCAGGGCTGACCTATTGTGTTTTGAGTGTTGTGAATCAACATGTGTAAAAAAAATCCAGATCCTTCCTGGCTGTGAGACAGGAGAACAATGAGGGCAGCCTGGGGTGCATGTTATCAATGGAAGGCAAACAGAAACAGAGGGGAAGATTTTCCCTTATCTTACTTGAAGAGTGACAAGAACTTTGCCAAACAATTCTTACTCTAATGGGCCGTCTCCAAAGTTAGAAATAAGAATCCTTTCCTATTATCCATGCAAGAGTGTCTTTGGGGTTTCTGTAATCGCTAATAGCTTTTGTTCCTGAAGGCCAGGTGATCCCCTTACATATTTCTTTAGGGGGAGAATGGGGCAAAGGGTCAGGCTAGGGTCAGGAACACAAGGAAACATAGAAATCATATAGAGATTATACACAGGGGAATCACATGCAGGTACCTTCCCATCCAGGTCCCCAGAGAGGAATTAATAATAGCAATAATAAAATGCAAACGATATCATGACACAACATGAATTCATAAGTTGTCTTGAAGAAAGTTCATGGGTAGAGAGCGAGTCCTTGAAGAGAGTGAAGTCCAGGAATGTGGCAGAAATCAAAAAGCCACCAAGTTGAGTCTATGGAGTTCCACTGGGCCAAAACACAAAGCCCTGCAGCGCTGGGATGGAAGCCGGTCCCATGGTCCTTGGAAAACTGTAACTCCTTCCATGGGCTGGAGCCCAGGACCACTCTGCTCCCTGAAAGCCTCATGGGGTCCTTTCTGTTGTTAGTGTCTTTGCAAATTGACCAAGACTCAACCCCTGTTGTGTAGTCTGGTGCCCTTGCCCTTTGAAGAACTATAAGTTACTATCTCTTATTGGGAGGGGGGCCATGTTCGGCTTCTGAGTCCTGTAGTTGGGCAGGGAAGCATGGTTCCCATCCTTGCCCCATGAAATCCCAAAAGGCTGCCAACTCCTGTATTGATTCCTTT